TATATATGAAAAAAACACATAATTAAAGTGTATATAATTAAATTAGTATTCCTTCAATAAATGCTTCTCGCCTTTCGCCTAGCATGCCAACATTTTTAGCAAATATCTTGCACAATTTGTTACCACTCAGAGTCTGTGATGAGGATTACTCTCAGCTACTACCAGACCAAATTTGAGCTCAGTAACTGTAAAACTGATTGAGTTATAGCCGTTATGTTGTTTGCTAAGGTTGGTTAGCTGAGGGGCCATCATGAGTCAGGTTGGTTCCAAAAGTCACTTAGTTGCTGGTGTACATTCATTTACTACTTTTTGAGTGTTTCATTAAAATCCATCCAGTGATTTATGAGATATTTTGCTAAAAGACGGACTAATATACACGCTCACTCATTATTGTCTTCTTTTCATGGAATTGGGTGATAATGAAGAAAGCATTGGACCTAAGTTGGCGCTTTGAGGCACTCCGTAATTAACAGTGTACACAGTTGAAGATTGATTCCCTAAACGAACAAAGGAAGTTCGGAATTGTACGACTAAAACTATTTAAGGTGTTCTCACGAATTGAGAAGGCTGCAGTCAGATCCAAGATGGCAGAAATACCTAAATCGACAACTAAAAGCAAAAAAAAATAAACTCTGCAAAGTGCAATTTTGTACTGACATTTTCAAAACAAGATACATTTTGTTCACTATGTAGGCGGATGTATTCTGTCATTTTTAATATGGTAAGAAAAAAATGCTTGAAATTTATGTATCTTTATTTTTTTATTTCCTTGTATTGTTTATTTTGTTTACTTGATTTTACCGTGATATTAGTAGGAATTGTTGTGTATAGAGCCCCCCACACCACATAATAATAATAATAAAAATGCACTCAGACACATCTGCTAAATGAAATATTCTCCCAAAAATGCTGAAATTATGATATATACGATTTAAAAAAATACATACTTTCTATAAAATGTACGTTTAATTTAAATACACTGTTTTTCTTTAATATTTTTTGTACATTTTACTTTAAAAATAGCCTAGCTTTTGCTTTTGCTTGGTCTTTAATCAGCTGAAATCGCTGCATAGCCGATGCCTTCTACGTGCCAGGAATAGCAGCTGTGCCAGTCATGATTTTCCTCCCTCATCATTCCCGCTGTGTCCCGACCGAGCGCTCTCTGAGATTAAAACAGATACAATTGGAATCAATTTTTCATTCGCAGCCACTTGTCTGTGGTTGGGTTTATCTCTCTACTTTGCAGATCGTGGCGTAGTGTGAAGCCCCTGATTGCAGATCAGTGCTTGCGTCCCACCTCGTGCTGTAAATAATGAGCGGGTATATTACACACCGTAAGCACTTCCTGACGTTATGGATGATGCAGAAATTGTGCGATGACATTAATGCTGAGGCAGGGTCTTTCTGCCTGTTCTGCCTTCTTCAGGAGCATCTGTTTTCTCTGCCGTGCCGTCCACACGTGTGTTTCTGTGGACGTTTGAGGATTTCTCATTGCTTTTTTGTTTGTTTGTTTTACACAGAGCCCAGCCAGCCGAGGGCTGTTTTTCCCGTGGACTCATCGGGTAAATAAACCTCTGAATGAGTAATGTTCCTAACTTTGAAAGGATTTTTTTTACAGTTTTGCTCTGTTTGGTGTCAGGAGTGGAGTTCCAGGACATTGAGGTCCACCTGCGCAGACAGAAGTCCGGGTTTGGTTTCCGGGTGCTGGGCGGGGACGATGCCGGGCAGCCTGTGAGTTTGGAGACACGTGAGAAGGCTCGTATGGCGATGGGTGTGGAACCCTGTCATTTTCTACTCTCTAACCTACTACACCAACACCTAACCTCTGACCTTTGACCTCGAGAGAGTGCCAGCTCTGACTGCTTGCTGTTCTTTTTTTTTTTTTTTTTGTCTCCTAACCATATTTCATTAATTATCATAACCGATTACACAATAACAAGCACACGAACATCCGCTGAGCATATTAGTGCAAGAACTTTAAGCTTCTTTTTTTTTTTTTCCTAACAATCTCTTTTGAAAATAAAAACAGATCTTAATCGGAGCGATCATAGAGAAGAGTCCAGCAGATGTGGACGGGCGGTTACGACCGGGTGACGAGCTGCTGTTCGTGGACAGGATCCCTGTGGTTGGGAAGCCGCACAGATATGTCATCGACTTGATGCACGCGGCAGCACGGAACGGACAGGTCCATCTGGTCATCAGGAGGAGGGCTCAGACTGGAGGCAAGGAATCATGCACTTCTTTGTTAAACTTGGTTCAACAAAACATTTCATTTAAAAATTACATCTTTAAGTGAACAGTGCTTCAATGTTAAAAGGGTGTTTTAGCTTTTTTTTTTTTTTGGGCCTCGTGTTTTTCAATTTTAGTGATTCAGAGATGAGGTTAAAGCAGGAAATTTAAACGCTGATCCTCGAGTATTTACACTGAAGCCTTCTGAAATACCCCCAAAAGCACCCTGTTTCTTCTAAACACACACTTCTCTTGATTCTTCAAGCTGCTTTATAGCCTTCAGCCTTGAGATTAGGAGGGCACGTTCTCCCGTCAACTCGAGCCTCTCCCATTCTCCTCATCATCGTCTTCTTCACAAACACAGACGCACATGCAGTTGCTTTCTCCAATCCAGTTCTTCCCACTCCATCCACCTTCTCTGTCAGTTTCTCCTCAGCTGAAGGCTACAGTCTGACTCATGCCCGGCCTCTGTGGACTTTACGTCTTTCCTAATTGTCTGACTCCCACCAGCACTTTATCAAGTGTTAGACTCTGCTCTTTGCTCTCAGCTCGTACGTCTGTCTGCACCTGTTGCCCCTAATTTTACTCCTATTTGACTTCTCCTTAGTGTAAAGTGTATGCATGTTATTGTAAGGGAATTTCATGTGGGGCTATTAATTACAGGGACAGTTCTTTTTATGACTTTAATAAACCATAGTTATAGGAAATAATTATTTCCTGATCTGCAGTCAGATGTTTACGTATATCCACTTAGGTGTGAATGTCGTACTAATTTTGGACTTTATCCACTGTATTGAACCATTTTCAGGGTCGGATGATTATACAACATACAATTTCAGTGATATTTAAAGTTAAAATTGGGAGCAGTTTGAATTTGTGGAGGATTTTCTCTATTTGTAGGTTCTGAAGGTTCTAAAATGTCTTATCGTGACATGGTCTAAAACTTCAGGCCAGAGAGCATAAATTATTTTATCTGGCAGTTCCTCTTTGCCAATATAAAAAAGACATTTTTTTTTGTTTAGCAGCTCTCATACCAACACTCAAAGCCGTGGGAAAGTCAAAGGAACTCATTAAAGATCTGAGATGGGAAGAAAATTGGATGTTCAGGAACAATCCAGGAACCACAAGGGCTGAAGAGAGCCATGATCTGAAAACTGCTGGTGCACCATGTCTCTGTCCACAGTGAAGCCAGTTGGAGATGGTGAACCTTCACCATGGACTGAGAAGGTGCCGACCAAGAAAGAAGCTCCTGCTCCAAAAAGCGACACCTTCAAGCTTGACTGAAATTTGTAGCCGTCCAAATAAACGAACCCAACACCTTCTGGAGAAAATAATCCTGCTCAAGCAAAACAAAGATTTAGTTTCGTGGCCACAGCAACAAGATGTTTGGAAGAGTCGTGGTGACCTCTGGTACTGTCAAGCATGGTGGTGATAGTGTCATGCTATGTTGTGGATCAGATAATGGAGATGGAGAGCTCAGGTCAACAGTAAGACCGCTGAAAATCAGACACAGTTTAGTGTTCCAACATGATGATCCCAAAACTGGTTTCTGAACAGATAATGTGGCTAACATTCTGGAAAGGCCTTCCCAAAGCCTCAAGCTCAACAGGATATACAATTTGAGGACAATGCAAGGTCCACTTGAAATAAGCTCCACCAAGAAGAATGGTCCAGTTTCAGGCAGAGGTTGAGGCTACATGAATATGTTGGATATTTGACCTTCTGTGGATTAGAGATGTGCAGCCAGTTCTTGTTTTTAAAAATAATTGAAGCCGTATGTTGCACAGTCGGATCCCGTACAAAGAACTGCTTAAATCTGGGGTGTCCAAAGTGCGGCCAGGGGCTCATTTGTGACCTACAGTTTAAGGATGGTATAATTGAGCCTGTAGGCTTAAGAGATCGATGTAGATCTTTTGCAAATTTAATGATGATCGGTTTTTATATATTTTTTTTAGGTTTAACAGTAAAACGGATTTAAAAAAAATCTCAAAATGAGCAATATTAAGTTTAATACAATCCTTTGACAATAAATCAGTAAAATCAAATAAATTAAATAAAAAATAACTTTATTTTTTTAATTCAATAAAACATTGTTTATGAAGCTTTTAATGTTTTGGATATACAGTAATTTAGAACACCTTCTCCACCAAAATTAGTACATTTTGTCCTCTCTCCAAAAATATTGTTTACACTGAATAAAAAAAAAACACACAAAAAAAAATATGTACTCTTGTTATTATTTATTCATTCATTTATTTATTTATTTATTTATCCTTTCATCTTCAAGGTTTTAGCCCACATCTGAAAATGTTTTGGACACCTCTGGCTTAAATCAATTAAGCCCCAAATTAATTAAATTCATGCCCATGAGTGGATGTAAACTTCTGTTCATGTGTGTATCGATATCAAATGTCAATTCTAATATTCTTGTCAAACAAAAAAACAACTTCTGCCTTGTTTAGAAAAAAAAAATCCACAATTTAATGCAATGTTTCTAACAGTTAATATTTATAAAACTAAACTATTGCCACCATAGTACCTTTTTTTAATCACATAAACATCTATAATCTCACTATTTAAACTTCCCTGAATGTTAATTTGCATTCAGTTTGCTTTATTTTACTAAAATTCACAACGATGATTGAGTTTGCTGACTTTTTACCTGGTTGATGAGCAGTTCTCTGTGAAGTTGTAAACTCTGTAACGTTCTCTACCGCCCCCTGCAGGTGAGTCTTGTCCGAAGAACGGCCAAAGCCCGGGCTCCATCTCCACGCAGCACAGCTCTCCATGCAGCGACTTCACTTACGGAAACGGTGCAACCCAGGCTCCCGGCCCCAACATGGGCAACGCCACTGCTATTTCAGACGGGACGTCAAACGCCAACGTGCAACCGAGCGACGTCGCCATCAGCCGAAAGGAGAGCGAAGGCTTCGGCTTTGTCATAATCAGCTCGCTGAACCGGCCAGAAACAGCCACAACTAACAGTGAGTCCCGTCATTGTTATGGAGACAAGTAGATGCTTGTCTACAATCAGTCATCCTCTACTCTGCCGAACATCTGTTTCAGGTGATAAACCGCGTCATCCTCATAGATGAGTGTAAACATCAAATAGTATCTATGATACGTGCCCAACTTTACCAGACAAGGTAGTTAAAGTCATGGCTGAATAAAAAGTGAAGCATCTCTCAGTCTAGCTCGTCAATTATACATATCCTCCCACAGCACGTCAGTCACACACATCTCTACTATGCTGCTGTGAGCATCAGTGCTTCGCCCACACACACAAAAATATTCTGGATGTCTTACGTAAGCCCGGCTGAACTGCAAAATGAGAAAGACGGCGACAGATTCTGTCAGTCTGCGAGTGAGTTTTGTGTGAGCACGGACAGGAGAAACAACCGGATCTGCCACTGAACGCATCTTTACCTGAATCCTCCCAACAGCTGTGCCCCATAAAATCGGACGCATCATCGAGGGCAGCCCGGCTGACCGCAGCGGGAAGCTGAAAGTGGGAGACCGGATCCTGGCGGTGAACGGTCAGTCCATCGTGAGCATGCCGCACGCTGACATCGTCAAGCTGATCAAAGACGCGGGCCTGAGTGTCACTCTGAGGATCATCGCACAGGACGGTAAGCAGACACACACATGGACAAGTTACTTTGGACAATCGTGTAATGTCACTTTAAAGTGAGTAAAGAGACAGAACACTCCATTCATGTAATCGCCAAAAACTGTAACCATGAGAATCTTCTAAGCTTTTAAAAATGAGATTCTAGCTGGTCACGGACATACAGTTGCTACATTAAACAGAGCTGACCCACATTAAACCTGAACAGATGGACAAACCGCCTCCTGACTTCTGCTTACATTGTTCTGCTGTGTTTTGCCTTTATCAGCGTTTAAATACGAGCATGTGACCGGTTGGAGATGAATTGGTGGAAGTTTAGCCCATTAGTTGTGCAGCAAAATGATTCCTTTATAAGTAATTGACTTGTATGTGTTGGTTGAGTAACTTTTAACCTATTGTGATTTTCTCATTGTTCTTCTGGCAAGCAAATGATGGAAGTAATCAGCCAACAAAAGCATTGAAGAATGAAGTCATTCCACTTCTTTCATTTCCTAATTTGTACATCCGTGACACTTTCATTCCTCTCCTGACTTCTTCGCCTCTGCCTACTGAAATGCACTGACATGAAAAGAGAAACAGGGAAAGAAAAGATAGCAAAAAATAATAATAAAAACAACAAAAATGTTTTGATACAGAAACATAAGCTAAATATAGATGATCTCTATTAGAAAATTATTTTATGAGGCCAAGGAAAAACTCTTGAGTCATCCTTTGTTGTATCATAATTTGCTTCAAAACATCTAGACTTGCTAGAGTAGTCCTGGGTTAAAATCCCGGACGAGCCCCCATTTTGTCATAACTTGGCTGAAAAGCCATGGCAAAAACTGGGAGAAACTGGTTTGAAGACATTAATGGATGAATGAATATTGATGACTTTGATATATGATATTGACTGTCTAACTCATTTGTTTTCTAGTACTTGATCATGATTAGGCCACTTAATTTTAACTTAGGACACCTTTAGGAAAAAAGAAAGACCTTAAAACCAGAAGATGAGGCTGTGTTGTCGACACAACAGATAACTTAGTCAAAATAGCCCATTTGGTTGGTTGGTGATGGTTCTTGGTTCTTCAAGTACTTTACCAGCATCTTATTGGAAATATACTACTTCAAGATACTACTTAGTTGAATCTATTAAAAGGGCCAAAAATAACAGATTACTTAACAGAAAATAGGATTTTAGCACCAATCAACTGAAGGATGACGCTTCTCTCAGATCCACTGTCAAGTTTTTAAAGACTTTACATACTGTTTGTCTATTTAAGATTATATTTTAAATTGTTTGTCCTTCATTCCTTTTTTAACATACATTATTCTGTCATTGTCAGGTATAAGGACTGGACAGAAAAAGCTTTTTTTTTAAGTAGCAAAAGTCCAAGAAAAACTTTAAAATACCTTCAAAAGGCCTGGAGAAATGATTGATCAAAATCACTTTAAGATTACAAAAAAAAATGTCTGGCTTCTTGGAAGAAGATAATAGAAATAAATGTGCTTTAAAAGGTTTGCACAGTACTATGTGTTCCAGATGCTATGAACTTTTTCTGTAAAGGACCCACATGTGTATTTCCTGTTAAAACTCCTTAAACAAGCTTTTTTCTCTATCCAGGTGCATTTCACAAACTTACACCTGTTTAGCTGAGAATAATTTCTGACTCATAAGGAGGAAAGAAGGGGCAGTTTACTGAAAATATCATATATATCTGATTAAAGCAGTAACAAAAACAAATACCTTTGAGCAAAAGTTCATCAAGGCTCACTTACTTTATCAACCATCTCCTGAGGTCAAGTGTTTCCAGCTTGTATTTGTTTTCAATGAAAACCTGTAATAAAGCCCCTATGACCTGTTCAGCTGTTTGAGACAAAAAAAAAACTAATGTTTCTTCATTTAGTTATTAAAAACACCATCAAAAATCTAATTTTTGTAAGAGTTTATTTTACAGTTGAATTTTAAATGAGCTGTATGTTTCCTGTGCTGCCCCCTAGTGGTGAAAAATGTACTATCATAAACAAACAGCGGTAAATGTGCTCTAAAAATTTTTTTTCTGTATTACAGAGGTTAGCAACCCTCCGTCAGCCCCCACCTCCGAGAAGCAGAGCCCCATGGCTCAGCAGCACAGCCCACAGGCCCATCCCAACACCTCAGCTTCCCAGTCCAATCAAGAACCAACAGAACCAAACCCCTCTGCTGGCCAGCCCAACCTGGTGCCCCATCAGAGCCCAGTCACCCAGCTTCCTGCTCCTCCACCACAGACCTACACCCATGACGGCAGGTAAAGCACAAAGAGCTGGAATATGTTTCACAGTCATTCTTTTTAATTATGTCTCTGTTATAAATCTGATCCTCTGAGGCAGATGTTATTCTCATTCTCTCATCTTTTTCCAACATCATCTTTGTTTTCCCACCTCTCTCTGTTTATCGTTCACTTCCTTTCTCCCCATTTTGTTGTGTAACATCACTTATATCTTGTGGACTTGTGAATAATTTACAGCACGTGTACGGCTGCTTTACAGAGATCTGTTGAATATTTTAACAAGAACCAGGGAGTCCAAAACCATCAGTGTCATTATCTTCTCTACTTTACACAATATCCACTTTTTATATATATATATATATATATTCGGCATCAGCCTTTGGGGTAACTGTGTTTTTAAAATGGGGATTTACGAGCCTAGTTTCCTGCTTCAGTTGTAGCTTACAAGCTGGTCCTTTTGTTCTTCTTACAGCCTGGTTTGTCTGTTAGTTACAGGTCTGAGGTGAAGGCGAGGCAGGACGTGAAGCCAGACATCCGACAGCCGCCTTTCACAGATTACCGGCAGCCTCCGGTGGATTATCGGCACCCTCCTGTGGCGGACTACAGGCAGCCGCCGACACTGGACTACAGACACCCACCACTGCTCGACTACAGACAGTTAGCCACCGATGCCCGGCAGTTTGCCATCCCAGACTACAGGATGCCTCCAGTTCAAGTAAGAATGTGTATTTCTGAAAAAAAATATATATATAAATTTTGACTCGTCACTTTTGCTCAGTGTTGTGTCCACAGCTGCAGACGATGATGTCTGCTCTCTGCCAGACACAACACCACAGAACAAGAAACGTTGTTAAACAGAGCCAACACCCCTTAAAGCCATGATTTTATCCTGAGCTAGTGTAAACCAAAATATAATTTAAATATTTTGAAGAAAACTTTTCGTTTCTGGTCCAATTATACCCTTATGTACATGATCAGTGATTGTGATATACACTGAGCAGGACTCTTTACGCTGATGAATTTTCTATTTAAAAATAATCACAGTAATGCTTTTTGCTGAATAATTTGCTCAATGGGGATTTTGATGATTAATCGCTTAAATTTAATGTTTGCACTGCTTTATTATGTTATTTGCTTACAATCATGGATAATCTGATTTTGGCTAATTATACTCTATCAACTGATTTGTCTATTGTACTGAACGAGCCAAAGAGACCCTAAATGTCCATATAAATAGTAAATGGACTGTACTTGTATAGCGCCTTTCTATCTTATCGAGATACTAAAAGTGCTTTACAACACAGTCTGTGTCCTCATTTATCCATTCATACAGCACTCTACTAGATCTATACAAAACTAATTGAACAAATCATTCTAAAGAGACTAATCAGAGCTTTATCACATTCATACACCGATAGGACACACATCGGAGGCAATGAGGGGTTCAGTGTCTTGCCCGGGGACACTTCGGCATGTGACTGCTGGTGGATTCGAACCCCCAACTCTTGCATTGCAGGACGACTGCTCTAACCACTCAGCCACAGCCGCCCCATATAGCCATACATATGGCTTGTTTTCTATTTATGCTTGTGAAAAACCACCAAAGAATCATGCATGACACATGGCATAACATCTGATCAGTGGTTAATTTGAGCCAGATCCTGTCGGATTAAAAATCCGGGAACTCTCTCATTTTGACCCGTTCTGTTCTGGCAACTCTTTCCTCGGATCTGGCAGCTCTGCACTGAAAAACACCCCCTCTCCCCTCCTCTCAGACCCCCGAAACAGAAACGATCGTTTATTCAACAGAATAAATAAAACCCCTGTGGACAGTGCACGTTACGCACAGAAACGTCTCCGATCTCTACCCAGCGTGCACACATCAGCAGGTGTCTGAACTCCTGCTACATTTCAGACATAATACTTTGTAAATTAAAAAAAAGGCTTACTGTAAAAAAATAATTAAAAATACAAAGATAGAAATGTGTGATGTGTTATTCACATTATATGTCACGTTTCAAAACAACAGCGCTAATTTGTCCAAACAGCGATCAAAATGTCAAAGAGACAGTCCAATTTACTTTAATAAAAAAATGGATGGATTGATTGTCCTTAGTTGGACAACAGAGATTTGAAGCCTTCAGGTGCTTCAAACGGTGCCATGAGACTAGAGCAGGAGCAGAGAAGAGTTCAGCTCTGTGAAGTGAGGGGAGGGAGGAGGGGGTTTAGGACACCTGACAGAATCAGAGCTGCTCTTTCACACTCAACCTGCTGTTCTTCTCCAAAATAGTAATTTTAACAAATGTATGTAAATGTTGATGTATAACAACCTGTTAAAAAATACACCAAAATGCAGGAAATGGCATCTCTGTTATTCAACATTTTCGGTGAGAGGACACCCTTTTTTGGCATCTGCATTTGGTAGCAGGCCAAACTGACAAAGACCATGCAGAATAATGTGTTTTAATTCCACAGCAGAGAAAACTATGGCGTCTCTGTAAGTAGGTCTAGGAAAAAAATATTGGTATCGGTTATCAGTCAAATAAGTTTTAACATATCGAATATCGGCCCAAAATCCACTATCGTGCATCCCTACTTTTTTCTCTTGTTTTCATTGTTTTGTTGCCTTATCAGCTTCAATATTGACATTTGAAGCCTTCCCTGTGCACCGTAGTTGGATTGGTTTCCTACCATTTACTCCTCACGTATCACAGAATCTGATCAGGTTTGATCCGTGTCCGTTTCAGCTTCCACAAGACTTTGACTTCTTCACGGTGGAGCTGGAGAAAAGTGTGAAAGGCTTCGGCTTTAGCATCCGAGGAGGGTGGGAGTACAAAATGGACCTGTTTGTCCTGCGTCTCGCAGAGGACGGACCAGCCATACGCAACGGGAGAATGAGGGTACAAAGTCTATGTTGTTGTTGTTGTTTGCTGAAGGTTAAGCTGCTTCCTATTGTGCTGGATTACATGGTGGTCGCTCACTATAATTGTGTGATGTTATCAACAACTTTTATCCCCTTGCAGCAACAACTTAAGCTTGCGTTTGTCGTTTTGTCACCAAGAATCCCCGAAATCTCCTCCCGTGATTCCAAAACTCATCTTTTCCCTGCATGTAACATGGATCACAATTAGTTAGATAAAAAAAAAAAAAAAACTTAAACTGTGCTTAAATGTTTGCACAGCTGCCCCTCCCTTTAGCTTTAGAGGCTGAAGCATCAAAGGAGCGCACACATTTTCTGAATTTATAATGATGTTACAACAAACACTTGGAGTAGAGCTCTCGACTCCACTTGTCCGGCTCCATCACTGAAATAAATTACAACCTCCACAGCAGCTTTTTTTTTCTGTATTTGTCAATCCCCTTTGCTTTCTTCTTCCCTTTCTTGCATCTTTAACGACCTTTGTGTTTGGGGCTGATAGCCTGAGTATGCTCTACATTTCTTATCTGTAATGAACCTGTCAAAGATAATGTGTGCAAAATGCCCCTTAGGGAGGTATTACTCTCCCTCCTGGATGGTGTTGAAGTCAGTCCAGTCCAGTGAGCCCAGCAGCACGAGGAAAAGGAGGAATCCCTCACGGCTGATGCTTATATCCAAGCATACAAGCCACTGTGAAATATGACCATCAGTGGAAATGTGTGTGATGCAAAACCCACATTAGAACAGCGTATGAATAGAAATCTACAAATGTGAATTAAATTCTGCTATGCAAATTTAATAAAATGAATGAACAAGATGCAGAAATATTCCAAAGTCTCTGAAATCACGGATGCCCTCTCAGCTAAATAGGAGAAAAAACATGAAGCAGAGTTGAAGCTCAGTAAAGCACGAGGTAATTCAACAGAATTACCGTATTTTCTGGCATATAAGTCGCAGTTGTTTGCATAGATTTGTCAGTCACTTATATGCCGAAGAGACTTGCATACTTTTTCTATATTCATAACCCAATTTTTGATGGATGGATGGATGGATGGATGGATGGATGGAGCGAGCGAGCGAGCGTGCATGCTCTGCCACCCAGGCAAAATGAAGCTGTTTTAAATGCGACTTGTACGCTGAATTGACTTATACGCCAGAAAATATAATGTCAGGGAGAACATCTGGATGGAAAATTTGTGAAAAAATTAGCCAAAAATAAAAAAAAAACCTCCAGAAAAGCTCAAGAACTATTGGACCAGACCAATTTAAAACAATTACAACAGTTTGAATCACTGGGTGAAAATATACATAAATTAAGGGTGCGTTAAAAGTTTTTCACTGTTATGTGCAGGTTTTAGAGCAACAAATGCAAGTAAGCTTTTTCTTAGCTCAACAAACTGCTCTGTAATAAAATAATTTTAGTTTAGGCAGTTTATAATTTCATTCTTGTACTTTTATAGTTTACAACTTTACAGAAAATATGTCTTGATGAATGTTTCTTTTTTCCTAGAGTCTTAATTTGTTTCAGGTGAAATAAACAGAAAGAGCAGGCTGCAGTAAAGATTCATCAAGATAAATTAAACTCCTCAATCTTAAATACCGTATTTTCCACCGTACACATCGCTCCGGCGTGTAAGTCACATCAGTCCAAAAAAAGTCTACTAAAGTGGAAAAAACATAAATAAGTAGCTTTGCCGTATAAGTCGCATCTCTTATGAGTCACTGCTGACAACCCAGAAACGTGGGCCGTTGTGCCAAAAATTGGCTGCCAAAATGGCAGCCGTGGGAGTGCGCACTTGAGGACTTTAATAATAATTTAGCAAGATTAACATTTAAAAACAAATTTTCATTTGCTCAAAATTATAGTAAAGGTGTGGCTCAGTTGAACTTTTCCTTAATAAATGCACTTTAATGGTCAAATCAGCTGCATTTCGCCTGGGCAGTGAAATGCAGCTGATTTGACGTTTGCTCCAAGAGTTCCGGAGCGAGACGAAGGTGGCCTGGTGTGGCAAGCCAAGTGTGTCATTAATAGCCATGTTTTACCTATTAATGAGACACTTGGCTTGCCATACAGCGTGAGGGCCCTCTAGTGGCTGCACATGGTAATGTTTAATATTTTTCATGTCAGAATGAATGAAATCGTCAGCTCTCAGCCAAAAATTGGGTTATAAATATGGGGAAAAAACATCAATAAGTCGTTTTGTTGCATAAGTTGCAGGACTTGCAAATTTATGCAAAAAGGTGTGACTTATACACCAGAAAATACGGTATGTTTCTTAGAAAGGTCAACTATTTGATCCCACTTCCAGCTGGTTGAACCATCCTGCTGGATTCTATCTGCGTTTTGCTTCAGTACTTGCAATATTGGTTAAAAGCATTTGTAACATGGCTGCCACTTTAGGTTTGAGTGGTCCACTGACATTTGAAATCATTTCCCCCTTGAAATGCTTCGTAACAGATTTTAACTTGGATTTCTTTTTGTTACTAATTCACAGTCCAATCAGAAACGGATTTCTTAAACCATTTAATGGTTGTTTTCTGGCGAAAACGCTTAAACAAATTGCGTGATGGGATTTATTACCGCTGATAACATTTGAGCAGATTTTTCACCCTTTAACTCTTCAATAAACCCGAGTCATTTGTAGGCAGAGAGTCTAATAGAGACAACTCTCACTTCGTTTCCACGTCACGCTCTCTGATCTCAGCATTCACTCGCTGTCCATTCAGGTTTATTTCCCGTTTTATTGAAGATGAAGATTGAAGATCTGCTCTGCTGTTTGGAGGTCAGAATTAACGAGCAAATTGCCTCTCCCTCCACCTCTTTCACCTCTCTTCAGACCACTGTAACGACACATTATGTTCCACCTCCTCTCTCGCTCGCTCTCCTGACTCGAGTTCAGTCCTGACTTCAAAATGCCTCAACGATTATTGGAAGACTTCTCCATTTGTTAGCGTAATTGTGCGGCTCGTTTTGTCTTGTTACATCTGAGCCGCTTCTCAAAGGCCAGAGAAGGGACTTTTATTTAACCCATGCTCATGTAAATTACAGAAAAACAGTCCTGGTGATATTTATGTTGCCTCCTAATGAAACTGGTGCTGCTGTAGATATTTCATGGTATTTATCTGGCTGAAGTGATTAAAAAAAAAAAAATCCTGTTTACATAAGTTATTTTGATCTGCTTTTTGTCATCATGTCCTAGATGTTCTTCATTAGCTCTTTTAATTTTGCCCCACGTGCCTCACGGTTACTGGTCAAAGAGCTTTACTGATTCTCTGAAGTCTATAAATGCAGCCTCAGTGCAGATGTGGACTCACACAGTAGTTTTCAGTCATTGGTCTGAAGTTTGTGCCTTAAAAAAGACTATTTTTCTTTAACGATACTAAAACTGGAGGTTAAACAAACATGTTTTTACATTGCAGAATTAAAAGCTGCTTTTATATGAGTGCTCTATTAACGTATGCACAAGTTAATGTATGTAACTTGCATTTTAATGCTCAAAAAGATTCAAAAATTGCTACGTAATTTTTGTTAATTTTACTTTTTTTTAATTGTGTAGCCAACATTGTCTTTAAATCCTAGCAGTATGTTCCTTTGTACTGAAACTCTGGCACAACAATTTCCTGTGGGATCAATAAAGTTCTATCTTATCTTATCTTATTATAAGTTTGGGTGACAGCAGTTGGTTTTAAAACCATGCATCTATAAATATCTTTACCTGGGGAAAATGTATAAAGGAAAGTGGCAGGAGTCCCTGTAGATTGTGATGTTTGCAGACGATACTGTGACCTGTAGTGAGAGCAGGAAGCAGGTGGAAGAGAGCCTAGAGAGGTGGAGGTAAGCAATAGAGAAAAAGACTGACAAAATAAAAATATTCAAATTTAAAAAAATTGCTAAAACAATGTCTTAATTTATTTTTTTATTTTTTTTGGGGGGGGGGGGGGGTTGTTTGTTTGTCTCCACATTTCCCATATTCTGTAGCTCTTTTCCATTTTCGATACCGTTCTTCTAGAAGTGATTGTCCATAGTTCCCATTGCATGTAGAGATGTGCTTCTATTGCTCATACATCCTTCAAAACAAGACAAATCTAGTGTTTATGTCTTCTGTTTTGATTGTCAACAATAAATAAAATAATTATTTTTCAAAAACCTACACTACACACTATTTGTTTGCTAGATAAATAGCAATTTTTCAGGCAGTGAAATGTTCATGTTTTACTCTGGTCTCTGCAGGAAAAGTTTAAGTCAGTTTTTTTACTCTCAGGAATGTATTTTTAATAAACTAAAAATATTTTTCTGCTCATAGGTGTCTATATTTTCCACAGTAACTACAATAGTCCCTCGCAATTTCACAATTCGACTTTCTCGGACACGCTCTTTTGCGGTTTTTCAAAGTAAGAGTGGACATGACACACAATTGGCTGATTGATTGGATGAGCCACAAGAGCAGCATGCATTGATAATTTAAAATACATTATTTTAAATGATTTAGCACCTGTGTGCAGCCCACAGATGCAGGGAGAAGCTCCCTCCGCTCTCTGCCACCTGCGGCTCTCTGCCACGTCCACATTTCGGCTCCATGCTGAAGCAGCTGCATGAAGGGTTAACCTTTACCGTCCTGCTGTGCTTCTCTTCTCTACAATTTAAATTTAAATTGTTTATTTACACAGAAGTAGGGAGATTGGGAGTGAAACTTGATCTTGGACTACTGTATCCCTACTTCACTGTTTCTCACTTATCACAGGGGGCGTGGCCACCTAAACCCCGTGATAAACGAGGGACTACTCTACTTCGTTTTTATGTTAAAAAGCAGCGTCTTCCTTCACTGCTGCAGCTAAAATGTTTTTGTCTTCGGCTGATTAACACTTTCTTTTTTTTCCTGCCTCCTCAACATCTTGAAGGTCGGAGACCAGATCATTGAGATCAACGGGGAGAGCACTCGGGACATGACCCACGCCAGGGCCATAGAGCTCATCAAGTCTGGAGGCAGACGAGTTCGTCTCCTGCTAAAGAGGGGGACAGGGCAGGTCCCAGAGTACGGTGAGCGTCTAAACTTTATGTTCAACAGCAAAGTACCTGTTCAGAACCATGTCTTTCTTAACACTTATACTGTATACTCTTACCTACTGTAGTGTCTGTTTAATCAAATATTCTGGCATGCTTTTATATCCACAATTTACCTTCTGTCTTTATACTCTTACAACCCCATTTTCAAACAGTTAAGACTTTGTGTAAAATATAAATAAAGCAAACTGCGATTATTTGTAAATCTCATAAACCTATACTTTTCACAATGGAACATAGTAAATATGCCAAATATTTAAGCTAAGAAACACAGAAGAAGTACATTTTTTGGGAAAATTTGTGCTTTTTTTTTAATTTAATGGCATGTTTAAAAAAAGTTAGGATAAAGTAAGTAAAGCTTGTGCATATTTAAGCGAGACGATGTTAAACTGCATGCTCCATCCGTTACAACAGCATGGCCTTATAACAGTTCCGCTGCTGAACTGACCTGCCTACAGTCGTCTCAAGTTAAAAACATTTTGTACATCATGAAATTAAAAACCTACAAAAATTCAGGACTGCTTCGTTTTGTGTTTTCTAGAAACTAACAATTTCTTTGTTTTAACACAATTTGTTTCTTATGTTCCATTGTGATAAAATATGCCTTTATGCGATTTGCAAATCATTGCCTTCTGTTTTTGTTTACATTTTACACGACATCTCAACTTTTTCTGATTTGGGGTTGTATTATAATTTACTAAAGTGTGCTTTAAAACCAAGCTAACTGTTTGTCTCTTCTATTTTGACTAACACTAGTTTATCTTCTGTCCATTTCAGTGATCTATCACTAATTGATTGGTCTAGGTTGTTACTTCCCCTTCTATAGGAATGGTATCTTCCAGTCTCTCCATGTGCATGAAAAGTGACAAGCATGGGTCCCCCTATTTCCTCCTAATGGGCCACTCTAAAGACACGGTTTGTTACCACACCAACGTTTTTCATCATTTAACCCCAGCTGTCTGTGCTGTGCTGTTGTTTTCTGTAACCACCTTTTTTAGGGATAATGTTGCCTATCAAAATAACTCAAACACCTTATGTTGCAGCAAATAAACATGCTGATTTTTTTTTTTTTAAATTTGCGGAACAATCAACAAAGCTGCAGGACTTTTATAAAATTATTGAGCATAACTCACATCCTGGATGAACCATAAATCAACCTCCAACAGCTTCCTGCAGGCCCCAAATATACACCAATATGAGCATTCAGCCCGAGTCAGCTGGAGAGGAACGTTAAATATCCTAGCAGATTATTCACCCGATAAATAAATAAAAAAATCACTTCGCAGCACGAATCAAGCCCAAAAGGGGAATTTTATTTGTGTGGCACTGCTGGCAATAAATACCCACTCATGTGGCTCCTTTATCAGCAGGATGTTCACTTTTCTTTGTACTTGAAAAAGCCTTTTTTAGCCGTTACACTGTCGGTGGCTCATATTTATCGTCATGATTTTATCCTCCGGCCCTTAAACGCAGGAATAGACCCCGTGACATGTCGGGGGTTTAATCACTGTTTGGACAGCCTTGAGATTATCCTGCGGCTCTGAAATATGCAGACAAGGACTTTTATTGTGGTCAGCCTAACGATACAGCGTTCAGTCATCAGAGATGTATTTCTGAACCCCACACCCTGCAGCTGAGATGTAAAAGCAGCGTTTTAGGCCACAAGTTCTGGTCTGTATGGGCTCGATTCAGCATTTCAACACCAGGCTGCTGCAGGCCCTTCATTTAAATACTGGAAGGTTATGTAAATCGAGCGCTGTGATTAATTTGACTGAGTAAAACATTTAAATACTAATGTTAAAAGGTAGAAGTCAGTTTTGCTTTAGGATGCCGAGTTCTTTTTTTAGGATGTGTAAAATGAATCAGAAAAATCAGGACTAAATAAAACTGTAGTTTTGTGGATTTGTGAACTGTGCACCCATGTGTGTGTGTGTGTGTGTGTGTGTGTGTGTGGCCTTGCAGTTCAGCTCTTTTCAAAAAGTGGAAAATCTGTGAACAATTGTTCATAACCTTTTCACTGAGCCGCATTAAGAAAGATCTGAACTGTCCCTTTAAGTACTCTAACGTTAGGACACAAGCCATTTCTCAAAGGCCTTGTTTGACTGGCTCCAGAAAGCTTTTGAGGAGCACACGCTCTTTAATTAAAACAAATAAAGTTTATAAAGACAATTATGAAAGGTTTTCCTTGAAGGAATGCATATCGACCGCATATTTTCATAAAAAAAGTTTTAAACTAAGTACGTCTTTGGATATGGAATGCATAGTCGTTTTGGTCAAACCTTGAAGATGATACACATAAACTCACTCAATAATGCAAGTTCCTGAATCTGATCTGCTAGCCCTCGGAGTATATGTTTCGGATGATGCGCAGCTACTACCACACCAAACTTCAGCTCGGTATCTGTAAAATTGCCTGAGTTGATGCCATTTTTGTGTTGACTAAGATTGATGAGTCGTGGCGGTCATTTTGAATTTGGTAAGCTCCAGATGTTAATGAGTAATAGAAGCACATCCAGTGATCATGTTCAAGTTTCACTGAAATCTGTTGAGTAGTTCGTGAGATATTTTGCTAACAGTCAAATGCACACAATAACATTACCGTCCACTTTTTGCCTTTCAGCAGCGAGTGAGCTATTTAATCAAAGAGGACTTGAGAATTTGTCGCATAGATGAACCGGTTTCTCGTTAAGGCATGAAGTTTTTACATTTCGCGTTTTTATTTTTATTTTTTATGTTCTATGTCGCTAGTTAATTCACAATTGAGCTCCATGAGGCTGTCATGGTGCATAAATCATGTTGAAATTAGATTTACTCGTTTTATTTAAATACTAGTATGAATTATGACGATATCCTGCATTCTCCTGTGGTTTCGCACAAAGCCGTCATTAGTAAAAGATGCTTAATTTGTCTGCTTAAATTACACGAGCTTTGCTATAAACAGTGCGTGGGCTTTAGTCACATTTACAAAGCAGGAGATTAGATCTGCAGAGATTTATAACTTCAGGTGCAGAAGTGCAGAGGATGAATTTAGAAAAGGGGTTTTCAGGCGTTTTACTTTGCATTCACCTGCAACCGTTTAGGCTCCACAGGTTCCTGCAGCACCTGCCTCTGAAAACAACAAGTCCACGCGTTGTTTGCCGTGCAGAAAGTTCAAAAGTAAATGTTTAAAGGCAAATTAGAGAAACTGCATTTTAGTGAAAACAATGGTGGGAACGCTGGATCCGCATTCACACTTAAAGAATGATTTCATGTGTTTTCTTATGCTGATAGACATCGTCATGCAATAACAAGCTGATGTCCCCGTTTGCTGAGGGATTTCAATAGTAAATGTTTGTGTCGTTCAAGATGAGTGTTTTAATGGACTGATATACATATTTTCCTGTGTATAAGTCACATCAGTCAGATAAAAAACATCATGAAGAGGAAAGAAACGTACATAAGTCGCATTTATCGTGCATCATCGTTGACCCGTCGCATTTATTTTGCGTTCATTTAATGGTCAAAACAGCTTCATTTCGCCTGGGCAGCGCCATCCATCCATCCATCACGGCCAAATCAACTAGCTCTCCAGCGTTCCTCCGCCTGCACCAGCTGAATGAAGCGAGCGGCACGGGAGGACTCGCTGTTGCAGTTCTTATAAATTTAACAAGGTTAACACTTAAAAACAATTTGTTTGGTCGACAAAGATGTGTCTGTTTAACTTTTCCTGAATAAATGCACTTTAATGGTCAAAACAGCTTAATTTTGCCTGGGTGGCGCAGTGCCATCCATCCATCCATCCATCCATCCATCCATAGCGGCCGGAACCGCAAGCTCTCCAGCGTTCCTCTGCCTGCACCAGCTGAGTGAAGCGAGTGGGTACGGGAAGACTCGCTGCTGCAGTTATTCGAAGCTTAAAGTGTCAGTCAAAAATTGCTTTACGAATATGGAAAAATAAATGTACTGTATTTTTCACACTATAAGTCAGTTTTTTGCATAATTTGCATGCCCTGTGACTTATATGCCGAAGCAACGTATTTAAGGATTTTTTTTTTCCCATATTTCCCAATTTTTGGTTGAGATCTGATCGTTTTCATTCATTCTGACTGAAAATATTGAAAATTACCAATTTCAGCTGCTAGATGGCAGTCGATTGTATGGCATGTCGTTGTATCATGTAATAGGTAAAAGTGGCTATTAATGACACAATCTGCTTGCCACAGTCTGACACTGTCGTCTGCCTGGAGCAACCGTCAAATCAGCTTCATTTCACTGCACCTCCCTGGTGTAATGCAGCTGATTTCACCATTAAAGTGCATTTATTAAGTAAAAGTTCAACTGAGACACACATTTACTATAAAGTCAAGCAAACAAATAATTGTTTTTAGGTGTTAATCTTGTTAAATTGTTGTTAAAGTCCTCCCGTGCACATGGTGGCAGCCAATTGATTTTTTGGCACACCGGCCCATATTTCTGGGTTGTCAGCGGTGACTCATAAAAGATGCAACGTATACGGCGAAGCGAGGTATTTATGGATTTTTCCATTTTATTAGACATATGTGGACTGATATGACTTACAGGGCGGTGCGATGTGTACAGTGGAAAAATACAGTATATAAGTCACAGTACTGACAAATCTATCCAAAAAACTGACTTATACGCCAGAAAATACAGAATATATATACAAACCAGATTCCAAAAAAGTTGGGACACTAAACAAATTGTGAATAAAAACTGAATGCAATGATGTGGAGATGGCAAATGTCAATATTTTATTCAAAATATAACATAGATGACAGATCAAAAGTTTAATCTGAGTAAATGTAACATTTTAAAGGAAAAATATGTTGATTCAAAATTTCACAGTGTCAACAAATCCCAAAAAAGTTGGGACAAGTAGCAATAAGTGTCTGGCAAAAGGAAATTGAGCATATAACGAACAGCTGGAAGACCAATTAACACTAATTAGTTGAATTGACAACATGATTGGGTATAAA